GAAGAGGAGGCTGAGGGGAGACCTTATCGCTCTCTACAACTACCTGAAAGGAGGTTGTAGTGAGGTGGGTGTTGGTCTCTTCTCCCACGTAGTTAGCGATAGGACGAGAGGAAATGGGCTCAAGCTGCGCCAGGGGAGGTTTAGGTTGGAAATTAGGAAAAATTTCTTCACGGAAAGGGTGGTCAAGAATTGGAACAGGCTGCCCAGAGAGGTGGTGGAGTCCCCATCCCTGGAAGTGTTCAAGAAACGGGTAGACGTGGCACTTTGGGACATGGTTTAGTCTAGTCTACCCTTGATTGGTTTAGTGTGGACTTGGTAGTGTAGGTTAATGGTTGGACTGGATGATCTTGAAGGTCTTTTCCAACCTAAACGATTTTATGATTCTATGATTTTAAGTCATCCATTATAGTGATATTTACAGCTCCTATACAGAATATTCTTTTCTACTGTAAATTGGTTTAAAGCAATTAAATTGCATTTTAATCCCTGATTTTGTAGCAACTAAAAGTTTTCTGGGTAAGAAAAACTTTAATTTTTAAATTATCTAAAATTGGAGGTCAGTCAGCAGTTGTTTCCTCCCCTTTTCATTTGTATGCGTTCTTGATACTGAATGGGATTTTTTTTTGATCCAAGTTCGGAATGACTGATGGCATCTTTATTATTTGACTTTTTCTGGAAACTGAGAGGTTTTGTTCTTTTTAGATATTATTATAAATTATAATAGCTAGTGGTTTTAGTGGGCCACATTTCACTGAAGTGTGGTCTTTGTGAAACATTACATTTCTTTGTGATTTTTGTAACTTGAAACTACATTTTGTAGTTAGATAGCAAAATCCAATAATGCATATAGTAACTCTGCTAATATTTTGAATACATTTTTTTTTTTTTATGATTTCAGAGTAGTTGCTCTGAAGGATATAGTTAACCTTACTCCTGTGATTTATTAATAGAGAGTAAGAACCCTTTTTATCTGACTGAAGGATTAAAATAATGTGAAGTTAAAGCTGTCTAGTTCCCTCCCTCTCTTCTTCTTCTGTTCCTTTGTAAGATGAATAAAGGTCATTTGAAGTTAATGACTGGTACTTTTGGAACTAATAACAGGAAATGCTCTTTCTAACAATAGGTGATCTCTTATAGGCAGGACTGAGCCCATTTCTTCTTATTAGGTGTGTTCACTTGCTCATAATTCTGGTAAACTTTAAGCAGTACGGCTGAACATTTCCATGTCAACTGTCTGCCTCGGACCAAATTTGGAATTTTTATGCAAAATACTCAGCTGTTTCCAAGGCTGAGACTAGGACAAACTTTTATTCCTTTATTCGAAATTCTTGGTGCGTTTTTTTTTTTTTTTTCTTTGGTTGAACAGCTCTGTTGTCTTAGCATTTAGGGCTGAGGAGTTGAAGCTTGCTGAGATGGAAGAAAGTCTTTTGTGTTAGGCACGTGTCCTTGGTCATGGAAGTCTGTCCAAAATACAAGTTTTGTACGAATTCAGATAAAGAAAGTTCACGTATACTCATAAGACCTCTTTCTTAATGCCAGAAAGTCCTGGAATAGTATGTCTACCCAGTATATTCAAGGAAGCCTCTGAGAGTCAGTGGGAAGCCTGAGAGCCACGATAGAAGTAAAGGGGCATAATAGGCAATGGAAAAAACATATTTGAGAAAGGTATTTGAAGTGCCTTGGGTAAAGGGATTTAGCAAGAAGCCATGGAGAGGTGGACTAGACTAGTTTAGAAGCTCAGAGGGAGGCAAAGTGATACCTGATAATGGTGGTCAAATGGAAGGAAAGGTGTAGAGGGGTTGAACCTGGGGGAGATGAACAGAAAGGCATGGGCTACCAGCCCATGCTTTCCTCAAAAGCCTGAGTGGAAGCGCTGTTTCCTTAGTCTCAGGGTGACGTGAAAATAATATGTTTTGTGTGAAATCTACAGTCATTTGTGCATGAATTTCAGCTAGCTCTAAAGGTGGAACACAGGAAAAGTGGTAGTTTGTTGCTGTGGTCATTTACTGCAGTGTCTCAAGGATTTATACGATGGGCCTATGTGTGAACTATATACAATGATAACTATATACACTAAAACTGCATTTAAAGAAAAAGCAAAGGTTATAAACGTACACATCGAGGATTAGGATGGGCAGGACAAACTATTCTACAGCCTTGTGAAACTTCACTTTTGTGATCTAGGGGTATTTTTTCCTGTGTATCACCATCATAACATTAAGTGTTTGCTGGTGAAATAAGCCTAAGCCAACCTTGAACTCAGAGTTTGGTGCATAAGCTGGATGTTTTCTGGTTATCAGTTGTGTAAAAGAGAATAATGCTTTTTATAGTACTGCTCTCCCATGTGTTGCAAAATCTGGATGTGTGTAGTGAATAAAGCAGGGGGCACAGGAAGTAAAAGGAAGCTGTTATAGATTATAGGTAGCCGAATCCATCCGTGGAGACATGGGTCCCAACTCTGTCTTTGTTGCAGAGTTTTGTCTGTTGCTCAACAGTGACTTAAGATTTTGCAGATTTCATCTTGTTTCTTTATGTTGAAACTGAGATTCCCAAGCCTGATTTGCAGAAGTGCTGGGTATTTGTAAAAGTAACTTAAGTCCATAATTTGAACATATTCAAGTGTTAGGAATCTGAGAGTAAACACCCTGGGACCCCTGTATATTTTTGGAAATTAAGCTTTTTTCACCTCAGTTTGCAGGTAATTTTTCTGGGTAGCCCCAGAAGTGTGGGTAATGCCATTCC